GTAGGGAAGGTTCGGAGCTGCAAATAGTGCCCCCTAGCATTGGGGCATAAAATGGGCAGCCTCCCACTTAATTAACATCCTAATTAATAAGAACAAAGCATGGCAGGAGAGTTAGGTGGGGAGGCGTGCCCAAAGGCAAGTGTGGAACCTAGCACTGTGGCTAGGCAGGGAGCTACACTTCGCCACACTAATGTAAATTTCCTTGGCTGCAACTTATGACCATTGCTCCTTCTTCTGTCATCTGCCACCACTGAGAATAGTCCAGCTCCATCATCTTTGGAATCACCCTTCAGGTAGTAGAAGGTTGGTGTAAAATCCCCTCTTTCTTCTCTTCTGTAGACTAAATAAATCCAGTTGCCTAAGCCTCTCCTCATAAGTCATGTTTCCCAGCCCTCTAACTATTTGCATTGCCCTCCATTGGACTCTCTCCATTTTGTCCACATCCTTCCTGTAGTAGGGAGCCTGAAACTGGACACAGTACTCTAGATGTGGCCTCACCAGTGGTGAATAGAGAGGCTTCCCTCTATCTGCTCCTACTAATACATCCCAGGAGGCTGTTAGCCTTCCTCTCCACAGAGGCACACTGTTGACTCACATTCAGCCTCTCATCCATTGTAATCCCCAGGTCCTTTTCTGCAGAGCTGCTGCTTAGCCAATCAATCCCCAACCTCTACTGGTGCATGGGATTGTTCTCTCTTAAGTGCAGGACTTTGCAGTTGTGCTTGTTGAGCCTTGTGAGATTTCTTTTGGTTGAGATTTCTCCAATTTGCTAAGGCTTTTCTGAATCCTACCCTACCCTCCAGTGTATCTACTACTCCCCGCAGCTTGGTGTCATCTCCAGACTTGCTAAGGGTGCATTCCATCCCATCTTACAGGTTGTTGATGAGGGTATTAAACAAAACCAGTCCCAGGACCAACCCCTGGGCACTCCACTTCATACTGGCTGCCAACAAGATATCTAGCCATTACTTTTTACCCTTGGAGCCTGACAATCCCAACAGTTTTCTATCTACCTTACAGTTCATCCAACCTGTACGTCCTTAGCTGGCTTGAAACAATGCTGTCGGAGACTATATCAAAGCCTTCCTAAAGACAAGGTATATCACATCCGTTGCTCTCCCTGCATCCAGGCAGACATGTCATCATAAAAGGCAATCAGGTTGGTCAGGTATGATGTTTTATGGCCCACTTGTAAAGCTCAAAGAACCCACTTAGGATTCATTCTTTTAAGAGGATGCCTTTCAAAGACTAATTACCAAACGTTTTATTATATTGTACTGTAAAAAATACGTATTTCACCTTGTCAACACCCACAAATAATGTCAACAATATAGTACATATTTGTTTTAGCTACATATTTATTTTAGCTACTTTAGTTAATTGGCCCAAAGTGAAGTGCTAATCTTCTTTCCTGAATATCCTTGTTTCAAGTTAAATTTGAATGAGAGTAGTGGTTCTCTTTTTCTATCCTTGATTGGTTACTATTAGTAGAGCTTCTGGTGTGCACAGTAGGGGGCACTACTATGCAGAGCCACCCGCCTCACTGTGCCAGGCCCAAAATCATGCTCGGAGTCTCCCTCAGGGAGCGTACAGCTGGCTGCCCCACTTCCTGGAGAACACCCACAAGTCTGGGGTAATGCTGCCACCCCCCGGACACTGGTCTCTGGTAGGGCTCTTTGGAACCTGGGACACACAGACCCTGCAAACCTTGGGGGTGCTTTGCCCACCATAATACTTCTGGGTGCTTCTTTCAGCCCAAAGCATCAGGTAGAACTAAAGGAAAATAAAAACACAAACTTTGCTAGCCAAGCAACAGGGGTGGAAAGCCTTTTTCTCTCCCCCCTCCACAGTAAGACAGCAAGGCAAGCTGTAACCTGATACCTTTATTGATCAGAGGGAGGAGGAGGGGGGAGTAGTATGAGGAAGACAGAATACACTTTGAGCAAACATAAGCCAGTCAATCCTCAGCCTCTACTTAGCAAGTTTGGTGATAACACCAAACATAAGCACATGAGTCAGTACAGAGATTGGACACAGTGGCCCATTTAAGACGCGACTGGCCTGCATATAATTCCTAACTCTTGGCTAATTTCCAGGGGTTTTTTACTTACAGAAAATCTCCAGACAGAAGCCTGGGGCATTTGCTTGCTGCGTTCAAAATGCCCCCACTTCCCATAGGAATTTATTTGTCCAGGTCACCGAATTGACCAGCCTGAACCGAGAAGAAAACCAGGAGAGAGAGGAATCACTTGGGTTGACCCAATTAGGGGGCAGAGGGAGGGGGAGGGGATTTCTTCACAGAGCTCACCAGATAAGATAAGAAGAATGAAAAAGACATGAGCACTGCTAGAAGTTATTATTTATTAGTAAATGAATATACATTTCAGTAGGGCTTCTATTTCTAAAAATGATACCTACTGAAATTAGTTATTACATGTCTTGAGGATGCTGTAGAGAATGTATGTAAGATGTTTGAAAAATATGCGCGTATCCATCAGAGTGTTTAGCAGTTTACCTAAAGCAACTTTTGTATCTGTTGAGAGGCAAGCATATATGTCTATTGAGTATTTATAGGAATTCTATTTAATTTAGATAAGCAACTGATTGTATTTGTGTTTGCCTATTAATAGGAAAGATTTTATCTAATGGTCCTATTTGTTGTAATTCTCCTCCATTCAGCTCATGCTGTCTCATCACTGCTGCAGGAGGAGTTTACTGCTAAGTTCTTGAATTGCAGCATTTTAAAGAATGTGAGAGCTTTGCTCAGTGGAGCCTGTCCACTGCAGCTTGAAATTGGTATTTTATACTACAGAGTTAATAAGCAGTTAATAAGTTAATTACCACTAGTGTAGGGATGCAGTCAGGTGTCTGGGGTAAAGTGGAAGCAGTAGCTTCCAGTTTATGATGGCAAATGCATAGCTACCGGCAGCAGCAGCTTTTTGTCTCATCCAGCCCCACACCCTCACAAGTTGGTGCCTGGGTGGTTGCCCCTGTCACACCCCTCTCTCCTTCAGTTACACCACTGTTAATAAGGAATATTTCAC